CTCACTTCAACTCAGAGTTACCGTGTCCTTTTAGAGATACAGAATATTCAGCCTGTATTACAACTATTCACCTTAACAACACTCTAAGGGCCAAATCATCCAAGGTGTTTAGGTACCTGGAAATCACATGCAGTATCCCCATAAGTAGACGTATAGTACAATTGCAAAGGCATTTGAGTGAGTTATAAAGACAAAACCACACAGCAGAGATTATGTGAATGATACTTGTATTTTTTTATTCTTTTTTTTTTCCCCAGAAGCCCTGAGGACAGGAGTAGAAAAGTACCAGTAGAAATGTCACACAGACAGTTTAGCAGCTAAGATGTTTGAAGAGCTGCTGAGCTGAGAGACCTCAAATTTGTAAGTTGCTATAAGTAAAGTGATGTGCAGAGGTGTGATGTATCTAAAAATTAGCTTAATTTATTTTGAACTGAAAAGGATTTCTATTTAATGAAGGTATGCTGGACCTTTGGAGATAGATGCCTTTTTAAAAATTTTCCTCCAGCAGAGCTACAGATATAAACCCAGGAAAAGGAGAAAGCTCCCCAAATCCTCTGAATTATGTCTGACCAGGTCTAATGAGAACGCTTAAGTGGCAAAATTAAAGACCTGTTGCATGTATATATGCTGAGAAGCCCTTGTAGAGAAATAATTTGATTAAATGAGCCAATTTTCTCAAACACTGGATAAGGGGAAGATGCATGCTGGTAAGAGGCCAGGCTAGTATGAAGGCAGTGCTACAGAGGATGTGTGTTTAGCACGTTCTCCCATGAAGAGTCAATGGTCTTTCTTCCTTCGAGGCAAAAAGAGGAAAAGAAAAATTCATATCCAACTGGGTATATAGATTCCCCACCTGACAAGAAAAGTTCTTGCAACAAAACCGGGGCGGGAGGGGGGAAATAGAAGAGTTTAAAAAAGGTCATCCCTAACCTGGCCCGAAGTCCATGCACCTGTGCCTGAGTTAGCCACTTCCAAGTCACTTGCTGGGAAACCTTAAGTCTGCAAATTCTCTTTCTGCGTGAAAGAGGCACTCTAGAAAAACACCTTTTTGCGTGCCTGTGTTTTCACTAAAGAAAGGGGGAGAGCATACAGATCACACCACAGGATTGGGCTTAACTGGTGGATCAGACGCTCGGGGCCAGATAGGAACTTTCAGCTGGTAATTCTAGAACTGATGTGACTGAGTATAATGGAGCATAACTTGCTAAGCATGCTTTTTTTTCTCACAGCTTTCTACCATTTCCCTCTCCAATCTCAGTCTTTAGGTTTTTTTGGTGGTTTGTTTTTTTTTTTTTTACTATTTCACTAAAAGCCCAAAATGGGAATTCTATGGGGTGAAGTCCACCTACTGTTTGCTGGAAACTTTCTAGTGCTGACACCTCATGTCCACAGCAAAGAAGGGTTAAGTGCCACTGCACAATGTAAGTTCCTCCCTCTTTTTACAGGGAGGAGAAAACATGTCTTATAAATTAAGACCTTCAGTCTGTGCAAGCTCAAGAATCTCTGGAATAGTGGCACCATGACCATTGTGGCTCTTCTGAATATTAATCTCCAAGATCAAACAGTTTCATTTAGACTGTTCTCGGATCCCAGCATCCAATGATCTATATTACATTCATATGTGCGGGGTTTTGCTGGTTTTGTTTGTTTTCAATTTTTTTGTCTTTATCTTTGCTAAGAAATAAAATCAGTTTAGCAGTTGATTCAACTGACCTGGCAGTGAACTTGGTTTGTCCTTGTCTATGTTTTCACCTGAAGCCTTCACTGCCAAATTAGCTAGACTGATAGCAGAAGTGGCTTTGCTTTCCAGTGCAGTAGATATCTTTTGAAATTCTTGCTTTCAGTTGGCTATTTATTATTTTATTTCTGGTAGTTTAGAAGTATATCTTCCAACTACCTCTGTTGAAGAGGAAGAAGTCTTCCAAACTGCAGAGCTCTGCAAGATAAACTATCAAGATTCAGCATTAATTGCTTTCTAAGCAGTAGTCGTGCAAGTCTAAAGGTATCTGGCAGAGCTGTAAATTAGCTTTTGTCTGAGGCTGTCAGAAGCTACACTGAGGACTTCACATTTTCTCCCTTTTTTTAATTCTTAGAGTCTCTTGATGCATGAGGACACACCTCCAACAGGTGAGTGACTAAGCCAGTGCTGCAGAGAATCCATTCTAATTTGTATTCTGTATTTTATTGAAGACTTCTGCAGCTCACTTTGAGTTTTCAAACACTCCATCCTCCTTGATACCCTGGATTTCCTTCACTCATAAAGCTGTATGAAACCCTACAAGAGCACAACTGGTCAATGTTTGGCTCACTCTGCTTAAGAACATGACTAGAGCTGGCAAAGCAGGTTTGGGGGTGTCGTGGTTTAACCTCAGTCGGCAATTAAGCACCACGCAGCCGCTCGCTCACTCCCCCCCACCCGGTGGGATGGGGGAGAGAATTGGAAGAGCACAAGTTAGAAAAACTCGTGGGTTGAGATAAAAACAGTTTAATAATTGAAATAAAATGATAATAATAATATGATA